GAGTTTTCTCTCCCTCCCTTTCCTCTCCTCTCTTCTGCCCATATTTCTTCGTTTTACCCTTTTTTTCCCCCCACCTTGAACCTTTCAAGACAGCGCATCTAAAGAATTACAAGCGATGACATTACGATGAGATCATACTATATCATCTAGCATCGGTCTTGAGCATTCAGAATCCATCAGGATCTGTCTGGTGATCTATACTTTGTTACTTCCTTCTGAAGGCTGTCAAAAGATCTCAAACATGCTGTCGTAGAATCGTACCCAAGAAGTCTCCAGGAAGAGCCATCAAGAAAAAGGTTTTGCAAACCATGCAGTGCCTGTGAAGGGCAGAATATAACGAGGTCGGGCTTTACTGAGCTGAATGATGGTGTCGTCATGATCCCGGAATGCGTTGATGGCATCTTGTCCAGTGCCATGCATTTATTTATGATCCATTGTTTCCAAAGGTCTCTTCTACAGGGTGTTTTCTAAGAAAATGAGATACGGAAAGTAAACACCGGTAGCTTTCTCTAGATCTTTCCCAGATTGAATTCGTTCTTCAGTCGCAGGAAGTGAAGCTTGGATATGCTGTTGTGATAACCATTTGGGATGAATCGGCTCAGATTATAAGAGCGGAATAGGGAACCGAAGTTCTCTGCTCTCGTGTCCTCTTGGTGTCGAGTGAAGTGCGGACAAGAGAGCCATGCCTTTCCCTTGGATTAATCGGACGGGGAAATGGTGGAAGTGCACAGAGACAGAGTGGAAGCCTATTAGATGGAGGCGATTTGTCATAATTCATGTCTTGTGCAAACTGGTCCGTTTCATCTTTCATCGCTCCTGTCTATACATCTCTCTGGCTGTCCTTCCCTGATTTCTGCCTCGCTTTCTGTGAAAAGAGACGCATTTTCTCGCTTGCAAATGTCCTCACCGTGTATACGTCACGCAGGGACAATATATTATTTGTTGTTTTTCTTTCTTGTGTCCCTGGCATTTTCCCGAAAGACAATATTGACAGGGCCTTGCCAATCTCTTGGGGGAGGGGACACTTTCATTAGTTCATCAGTCGAACCGTGTGCCGTTTTCCATCCATACCGGCCATTGTGCAGCGGTTCATTACTTTGTTGTGGGGTGTCTTGTTGAAATGAGAGGAATGGCAAGCCAATATGGTACGGGGCTTTGTTTCCTCCGTATGTGTCATAGTAGATGGATGCCTTGTATATAATCGTTCCTTCTCTCTACCCTCATTATGACAACAGATGACGGGATTAAGAACGACGCCCTGTCACCTCCTATTTGTCTTGTCTCGTCTCTCTCCCTCACTTGGACAAGGACAACCCTGTCGATATTGGGGCTCAACAAGCTGGAATCCCCTCCCGGATGGCTCGTCTGCATTATTAAAAGCGGAATTCCATCCTCCCCCGATCCCTGGAGCCGGGATTTTCTCTTTAGAGCAGGGCAAGGATTCTCTATGGCTGAGGTGTGAGCCCATAATTCAAAGACTTCTTATTTGGATATCGGGAAGAGAACATGTCGAGATTCAGTATGCATGCCATTTGCATGGTAATGTATCCCCTGGAAGGAAGGAATGAATCCTCCAGCCGCATCCTCCATTACTCATTCCCGTATATCCCCCGTGCTCCAGTCTCCCCTCTTCTGAGACTTTTTTTCTGCATGCCATCGTATTCTGGACTTGCATGTAAGATGGCGAAGTCATTGAAGGGAAGAAGAAAGAGGCTTTTGTGGTTTGCTCCACGTAATTTCAGCCATGAATTTATTTTTTTTGGAGGGGGGGGGGGAGAGAGATGGACTCCATGCAGGCAATGATCTTCGAATCCCCAATCCACATTCCTCCGTCTTCCTACCACCTTAATTACAATTTTTTCGTCGAATGACAATTCCGTTCTTTCATTATGGAAAGGAAGGAGGATGAGGAAGCCGTAGCCGCGTTCATTTGCATGTCAAGAGATCTCGTAATTGAAAGCTGTGCATTTGGGGGGGAAGAGAAGCAGCGGCGGGGTGCAGTGTTGTTTCATTTTCTTCCTTCCCCTAATGGTAAAAGGAATTCATGTCTGAGGATCCTTCCGCATTTTTCATTCCATCCTTCCCTTTCCTGGCATTCACGCATATCTAAGCGAGAAATGATCAAGAGCAACGTTCTCCTTCCCCAACCGAGCACCCCATCATGTAAAGACACAGACTGTTCTGTCGAACGTGGGAATCTCTTAACATCTGGAATCACTCATCTCTTTCCCTACGCCGCTTCCTTCCTCCCTCCCCGCTCTACGCCCGTTGCAACACGGGTGGGATACACTCTGGGCGAAGGACAAGGCCCCTGGAGTTCCCCTCCAGGGGTCTGTCCCTCGCCTCTGCTTAACTTAATCTAAATCTTAACTTATTCTAAGCTTGATCTAGATCTTAACTTAATCTAATCTAAAAGCAGTCTTTCAACGTATTGAATGACCGCTTTTAGGTTAGATGACGTTTAGAATAAGTTAAGATTTAGATAAAGTTTAGCAGAGGCGAGGAACAGGCCCCCTGAACTCTGAACTTTCTGGAGGGAGCAGTTGAAAAGAGGGTGAGAGAAAGGGAAGAAGGAAAAATGGATTTTACGTTTTCCATGTCAAAAAGAGGACGGGAGGTTCCATCCTTCTGTATGACTGCTGGCTGCTCTCTTTCTCGATAAATAATTTACCAGTTGTGCCTAGGCCTGGAGTTCCTAGCATATCTGAGACCTTAGAGCGTTCGCCTCCCCCAGCGCTTTCTCTATTTCCCAACGGGATACAAGGGTGAGAAAAACCGATAAAAGCCACCCCAGTCCCTTCCCTGCCTCTCTTAAATATGGATGCCATTTCCCCTCTTTTCTAGCACTCTCGCCTTTTCCCCCTCGTTTTTCCGGCCCGACTACTGCAGCGCCCAGTTTGAAGGTTGTCTGGAGTAGTCGGCTGCACCAGTTTATTTCCCTATTTGGAGTGCAGAAAAGCATCCGAAGGGAAAGCCGTGCGAATAGGGATGGGTTCATTTCCCACGACCCTCGATCTCAGCTTGTCACAGGCGACATGTGATACGATCACTTACAAGGTTGAGGTGGAGAGTGACGACAGGAAAGGAAGACGATACAAGGGCGACAAATAAGAAATCCCCTAGGTATGAACAGACGTCCGGACAGATCATGACGAACTGCCTGCGGTCGGCGTGCATTGATCTCCATGTCAGGGAGCACTCCTGCCTCATTGATCGATCGTTTAGGGCCGGTTCTCATTTATTCATTGTTTTCTTCGTGCTTCCACGTTGCCCAGGCCTGGGGCTTGGGGTCCTCCTGGGCAACGGAAAGGCGTTTCATAGTGGTCTTGCCAGCTTGTCATGTGACGTTGCCTTAGCGCCCTCACTCCTTCCCTCCCTTACCCTTATATCCCCATATTGCAACACAGTTGGAGCATACGGCTCTCAGTGTGTGTCCTTTCATCCAAATCTAATACCGGCTTTCAGCGTATACTCCCCGGGATCAGACCGCCTCTGCATCAACTCAGCAGGTGGAATAATGAAATCCGGATCCTTGAGCCTCAGGGTGGCTTGGTGTGGTCGGGGGAGGGGGGGGAAAAAAAAAGAGAAAAAGGCTCGGCATTGGAATCGCAAGCCTCCAGTATGCCCGTCGTTGAGACGAGCCACGATCCGCAGTCCGATGACCCGACGGCTTCATTGCATATTACTTCGGATGGAGACGGGAAGTGCGAGTTCTCACGTGTCGGTGCTAAAGAAAACCCAAAGAAGTTCGTTAAGGTCTCACGATTATTAAGGCTACGATACTAAATGAATTACGATAAGCAGGAGTCATGTCATCTATCGTGAGAACAAAAAATTAAAAGCGAATCGTAAGTGGACGTCATAATGTAGGGTGAACGAGTAATCTCGTTGCTTGAAGCAGCCTTATTGAAAGCTGAAACATGAAGCATCATCAATAGCCATCGGTCTACTCTGGATTAAAGGGAATCTGTCTGCCTAGGTTGTTTTCAGGATTGAAACCTTCAAACAAATGCACAAGACTATAACCAGAGAAGTAAGGAATCTCAGATCAAGTCTAGGGAACATATCATGTAGACCAAGAAACCTGTAGTTCATCTAAAAATATTCAACAGAAGAGGCGATAGTGAATGTATACATAGATGAGGATATGTTGCTGATTTATGCACGCTAAAGCCATCTCTCAATTAAAATTCTGAATGAACTCTAATTTGCACTGGCAGTTTGTGAAATTGCGAACGGTGCTTGGAATTTTAATATTTTAATCCTATTTTCTCGCCATAGGTCAGTTTTCACAAGAATTAGTTTCGAAAAGTTAGTCCAAATCCGTTTCTTGTCTCGAGCAAGCTTTATACTGGTTACATCCTCTCACTGATTCAAAGACATTATAAGAAATCGTGTTTATTTGCTCTTGTTTCTCCTGACCTCCAATTCCATATATAGCATTATAACATTCTTGCGCGAGTAGAATCGGAAGGAATATGTCAACGAGGATGCTCAATTGCAGGAAAGTGCGTTATGCATTTCAATGTATCTCCCCCTATCGTATCGAAATCCGAAAATGAATATTGCGCCGCCATTGGTCTCAGATGAGAGGGGCCACGAGATGACGAATCCCAGAGGCTTGGTGTCGGATAGAACGATGTCGTCATTGTGTTGCCGTGGAGGCCTTGTTTCTGAGAGGGATTCATTTCATCTTCCTAGGGCTGAGTCTCCCAGGGGAGAGCTGAGACTCGATAGCTGGTCACTCCGTTATTGTTGCTTTGAAACTCCCTTGCTCGATTTCCTACTCCATTTCTTTTCTCACTCCTCTCATCCCCTCATTCTTCCTCCTTTCTGCACCAGTGTTCTTCCTTATCGAGAAGATAGGGAGCGGACAGGAAATTGAGTCGGCTCTTTGGATTCTGTATGAGACGGGAGGCCCCCTTCACTCGTGCCTCTCGTGTTTAAAACCCGTTGTCTTTTCGGAATTCTCCTTTATTCCAAAAATATGCAGGAAATTCATGGGATGCTCTTCCTTGTTTGTTGCAGTCCTCAGCCTCCGGAACACGCAGGAAGAGGAGCCTCCAGACCCCCAGCTGATGAGGCTGGACAACATGTTGATAGCGGAAGGGGTTGCGGGACCCGAGAAGGGTGGCGGTGCTGGTGCAGCCGCGAATGCATCTGCTGCAGCCGCTCAAGGTGGACCCACTTCTGACAATGCCATCGAACACTCCGACTACAGGGCCAAACTCTCACAAATCCGCTCCATCTACCACCAAGAGTTGGAGAAATACGAGCAGGTCAGTCGCCATTTCGTCCGCTCGCGAGACTATTAGACATCCCGGATCCCGAGATCTAGAGAGTTATCGCTTGAGGTCTCGAGAAGTTTCTTTTCTTGGTAGAGTTTGTTCTCTGAGATTGGGACTTTAAACTCAAATGGGAACCTGATTATAGGGTGCGAAGTGCCTCGTAAGGGAAATGAGATTGTAATGAGATTGTAAAGGTCACCTCTAGAAACTCAGCTGATTCTGAGCCAAGTCTGTCCACTTGGAACACTTATGAGGACCAGTTCGTAGTGATGGGGAGGAAAGAAATGAAACATGCTTCAAGCCATCGTAAAGCTGTCTCATTTCTGTTGAACAAGCCAGGAATGTGGATCATTGTTCTCCTATGGAGAGACATCGTAGAGCACGAGTTCCATGTCGGTCTTCCCGTTAAGTGCTTTGTTCGTATTGGACGGCTGTGTGGGAGCATTCCTCTTGTCCATGCCTTTATGCACAATACGTGATGCCGTGATTTCCTTTGTGACCCGGGAATTGAGAATCCTCTAACTACTTCCTCGCCCACTTGGAGCGTTTTCAGTTTCCTTTATAGAATCACTTCGCTGAAAATACTATGAAGGGTGCAATATAAAAGTACTCGAAGGACTAGTAACGTTCACGTGCAGTAAAAGAGAATGTGCCATTCTATGTGGGCTCCATGAACCAGGGCGGCCTGGGTCTGGCTCCCAGAATGACGCCGTTCCGCACAGATCCTTGATGGGATGCATTCGCAGCACAGCCGTCTCCCTTTTATAGTGTTCTCACGATCTCCTTTGCCTGAGACCGACACATTTCCTCTTCTTCCAATGAGCCCATTCTCTCTTCATGCGTCAATCAGGGACCCTATAATCTTCAAATCACAGCGCGATAATTGAATCGAGGGCATGAACATCCTGGTCTCCTAATGCGAGGGTATTTTAAGACGATCACATCCCGTTGATCCAGAGGTTGCTTAAGAAGCAGCAGATTCAGATAGTCAGCAGATTAATCCGCGATACCTATTTTCCCGAGATTCGTTTTTTTCTCCTTTTTTTCTAATACCCACTCAACGTCCTACAGGGCAGTTTTTACTGATCAACCAATATATGTTGAGATAACGGTAACACAAGATAATAAGTATATGGTGATATTGTTGTATTTTATATATTTTCAGGATCCTTGCAAAGCAAGTTGTCAAGTCTTAGTATTGCAAAATTACATTGCATCCTATTTTAAAACCTTCAAACCTTTCTATATCTCTGTTAACAGCAGCAAACCATGAGTTGTGATCACAGATGGATAACAATAGTTCATTTTTTCCCCTCTCTGGACTGAATGTAACTACTCCCATTCTCGCACATATTCGACTTGAAATTATGTGCTGTACTGCTAACTGCTGTGAGGAAAGTACAGAAACTTCCAAGGAAGTTTCACTTCTTTTATTTTCACGACAATCAGGCATGCAAAAGAAAATCGAAGAGGTCAGAGAGACTTTCAAGTTTATTTTGAGATGGTCATCATCTTTTCTTTTCATGACTTGCAACTTTAATCATATCCTCTTGAACCCCGATCATTTTTTCCCGCATAATATTTTAAAGAAACTATCGACTGCCCTACTTTCAATGGTTTCTTGGAATTCGTTGCTAGTGGCTCGCCTTCTTTCCTTCGTAAGTCCATACTTCTTGGAAACTGGATTTTCCGCTTCGATACATACACATCCAAGTGTCCAGAAACCTGGAAACAGGATGCGAGAGGATATTCGGAATTTCGAGATCAGGTGTCAAGCAATCGCCAAATAAGGTAGTTCATCGAAGACGAATCTCACGGCTCACCCAGAACTTTCACGCTTACTAGTTCTCTTTCTAGGATATTTTAACCCATATATGGCAAAAACTTGAGGTAAAATTAACTGTTTTTCGACCTATACATCATAAAGCTTAGAACCTTCCTTCCTAACGATGTTAGCTTTTTTTTCTTAAGAGAAATCGCGTATCTTTGTACCAACCCTAGAATTGATTAAATAAAAGATAAGTAAAAAGTAAAGAATGGAAATCGTGTGATTCCTGACCTGAAAGTGTTAGCTTTAACAGGCCATTCTTTATTGCACTTAACAAATGCTCTTAATATCCATACTTTTCATCGGTGTTTTGTTATATCGTTTTATTATTTTTTTTTACACCGAAATATCAAATAGGGCGTCATTTTCAGCTTGAATGAAAATTGAGATTCCTATGAAAATGAAAATTCTCATGAAATTAGTTCAGGTTGATGTGTCGTCATTTTTTATGTATGGTGCCTGTGGATTGTACTGGATTAAATGTGGATTTGTTACGGCAGGCGTGCAACGAATTCACGACGCACGTGATGAACCTGCTGAGGGAGCAGAGCCGGACGAGGCCTATCACACCGAAGGAGATCGAGAGGATGGTCCAGATCATCCACAAGAAATTCCAATCCATCCAAGTGCAGCTGAAGCAGAGCACCTGCGAGGCTGTTATGATCCTCCGCTCCCGATTCCTCGATGCCAGGTTTCTCATCCCATCTTCTTAAAAGCTCGTCGTGGATGCAATGAAAATGAAAATCCCCCTGTCCTCTTCTGTCTTCATCCTCTCCCTTTATTCTGTCTACTTTGTTATTGTTAGGCGGTGATAACCATCCGCGATGATCGTGCGTCCGCACTTACTTCGATATCATAAATGTAGACGCTCGATGATTCTTGAGATTGCAGGAGTCCCTAGCAGATGCTGGAGACTCCGACATTGACATATGGCGATGAATGGACCCGCCATGGCCGCAATGCCTTCTCGGAGGCTGCCCAAATGGTATTGCTCTTTGACGATCATCTCTTCCGTGGAAAGACGACATCGGGTCTCCCTAACAAGAGTCTCTCTGTAGAAACAGATTCCGGTGCCAAAAAATGTCAACGATTCGTTCCTTATAGCTTGAGAGAAATTCCCTGACAGATATTCTAACCAAATGTTGTAGTACTTTGTTTCAGTGGGTCTCTTTTCCAAAAAGGAGAGGGACCCAGATAGGTTTCTTCTTATCTATCGATGTCTGTTCCCACTTCTGTGCCCGACAAGAGCTCAGGGATATCTTGATTTAGGTGGAATTTGGCTTGCAGATGCAAGAGGGGCACGTTACTCAGATTTTAGTGGAGATAGTACCTAAAACAAACTTTTTTATTGGGAATTTTCAATTTTCCCATGAATTGGGCATTGGGTGAGGAAGCACTACGCACTACTAGTCTCGGTTTACCCAGCTTGGCCCCTCTCCCCTCCCTCTCCACTTTCTTGGACATAGATGGACCTGAGACAGTGGTAAGTGGCAAAAGGAGAGGAAAGGAAAAAGGCAGCAAGAAGAGAGAGGAGAAAAGAGGTTCGATGACATGGCACGCTGACATGAGTCTTTCCCTCCTCTCTATCTGTCTTTCTATCTCTCCCTCTCTTTCTGTGGAACTCACTCCCATTATAGGAATTGGAGCTCGTAATCAGCCTCAATTATGGGACGTTAGAGGGTGCACTTTCATAAATGCCCAGGCTGGCCTTAGTTGCCATTTGGTGAATCGCTGCACGTTTCTTGGCCCGTTCTTAAAGGGGATATGGCACCGACGGCCTGAGATGGGTTTTGGTTTCTCATTACAGTGCCTTCTCTATATCTTCTCCCCTTCCTTCCTTTCTTGCGATCTCATCCGTTGCCATTTCATCGGCCTGGCTCATTACGCCCTTCTAATGCCTCGCTGACTGATGATGATGATGATGATGAAACGAAATCAGTAGTAGTAGTCAGTGCTCGTATCTCGAGGGCGGCTTTCAATTTTAGGGGCGAAAATTCTGTCTCGAGCCAGAATTCGTGCGCAAATGCAGTATCCGTTTTTTCATGTTCGCGTCACGGAACTGGAATCAGTAAGATGAGAACTGTAGACATTCGGGAGCGAGAAGGGTCGACTTCGATCCCGTTTTGGGAGTTTTTCAGGTGATTGCCATGGAAGGCAATTGCGAAAGGGGGTGTGGGTATTATCCGATTTTCTGTCCCCTTACTTGGCTGGGATACGATCCCGTCTCCTGACTCCTGACTCCTAGCCTGGCAAGAAGAGAAGAGATTGGACCATGGGACCGTGGTCCATTATTGATTCCTGCCTCTTTGTGTCCCTTGTCCTACACTCCCTGAAATAGGATTCCATCCTCCTTTCTTTCTGCTTTCTTCTTTTTTTTTTTGAACCTCCCCCCCCCCCCCCCCCCCCCCCCCCCCCCCTCTTTCTCTTTCTCTTCTGTCTGGATCTTCCTCCCATTTATCCTTTTCAGTTGTTGGCCTTAAGCTTAAACTCAGACGGGATTAAGAAGCGGGTAACGTTGACTAGAGCCACGTCTGTATTGTGCATTTCAGGAGGAAGAGGAGGAACTTCAGCAAGCAGGCTTCGGAAGTACTCAACGAGTACTTCTACTCACACCTCTCCAACCCGTACCCCTCAGAAGAGGCCAAGGAGGAACTCGCCCGCAAATGCGGCATCACTGTTTCCCAGGTGAGGTTTTGTCGCAATTCTTTAGTGGAAGAAAAGGATGTGCGAGAAGGTGTTGCCCCAAGAGTAGCGTGCGAAGAGCCTAGGCCTCGTTAAAAGAGGGACATTAAGTAGAAGATGAAAAAGGCATCGAGGAAGAGAAAAGTAATCCAGGCTTGTAGGTACTCGGTAGGCGTCCGCAAACCCAACGCGCGAGGGGTAATTGAGTGAATCAATGTGAGGACGTGGTGTTGCCCTGGATGGACACAGGAACCAGACAGGTGCTTCCATCGTTAACTGTAATTATATGTTCATCAACTCCTTAATGGCAGGGACGGGGTTCTCTCTTCTCTCCCGACCGTGCGAGGTGTTCTTCTTCCCTCGATTCGTTCTTCACCCTCTGTCTCGTATTTTTTTTTCAGGTATCCAACTGGTTTGGCAATAAGCGGATCAGGTACAAGAAGAACATAGCCAAAGCGCAAGAAGAGGCCAACCTTTACGCAGCCAAGAAAGCTGCAGGTGAGAATGAGATTGATATGCATGTACCTGTGCGTAATACGTACTACAGTGTTTTTCACTCGTACGACGCTTTTCACGAGACTCCTCGTCCATGCATGGCTTGCTTTATTCATGCGAGTCGGAGTCGAGTGAGATAGCGCCTGATTCGAGTGAAGAACGCTGTATGTTGGGATGCATGCATGCGTGGGCTGTGTGTAGAGTATGTGCGAGTCTGTTGACGAGATTCTGCCACCGTTCGCTTCGTGATGACAGGCAAAACTGCGTGATCCCTCGCGTAGAAGAGAGGGGGGAAGGGAAGAGAAAAATGAGGGGGGTCGAAGGAAGGATGAGGAAGAGTGAAAGAAGAGAAAAGAGGAGATAGACGTAGCATGCGAGCAAGGATTATCTGCTTTTTCAGTTCTTTCCCCCGTGTAATCCCCGGGCCTTTTCCTTCGCTGTCCGGCTTCGCACGGAATCCGGCCGGCTGGGCCTGGCTCGGGGAAGGAAGAAATGCAATCTCGTTCTCGAGTAATCTTCCTGAAACTGGTGTGTGCTCGATGATGCATGTAGCAAGGAGCATCACCATACTCCTGGGGAAGTGAAAGAGGGAAGAGGAGTTGGTCACAGTCCCATGCCTTTCCTCCCCCTGGACACGGTCTAAAAATATACGGTGTGGACAACAGACGGGCGTTCCCTTAGATCGGCGCGGAACCCCCCCCCCCCCCCATCACTCCTATTGCCATCTGGTGGCAAGGAGGTATACAGGCTCAAAATAGCATGGCGCCTGCCGCTCCGCAGCTGGAAAAAAAAGACTTGAAAAGGTCCATGTATAATTTGTTTACATTTTCGTGACCTGAGCCTGTGACGAATAAAATAGCGTTACTCCTCGAGGAGTATCTTCTCAACTCATCTACTTTCCCAAAAGCAGTTTTTCCTGACAGTGCGCTGAATTATCATTCATTGCGCCTACCATAAATGTGATCCGTGAGGGTTATACCATGTTCAAGACTATCCTGTTAGTACGTAGTACGTGGGAGCTTGAACAAAGCTCGTAATTGTACCTCTTGAACGATTAAGAATATCAAACTGTCCTTGGGACTCAAAACGATCCAATCAACTGGGCGAAAGTAATTGAAGTAAACCCGAATTTGGAACGTTGGAACCAAGGAGAGGCCTAGAATTTTGTCTAATGCGTATGACACCCTTACGTAGTGTCCGAAGAATAGTGTTGCGGCCATCCATTACCCCATTTTTGTGGCATTTGATGGCCGAACAGTATTTTACACGCTTCATTTTTCTCCCAATCGACCCCGCTCGTTGCCCGAAGCGGCAACTTTATTGTCCGGCATGTCTCCCCCCGCCAGATGGAAGTGCGGTCGTGTGGGTCGCACGAAACGCATCAAAGCCCTTTCGTGCGGCCCATATATGTATGTATATGTATTATTTACGATGCCCCGGTTTCGACCCCCGTAAAGTCACGTATGTTTAGCAGGGGCATCCCCGTATTCGCTGGGAAGTGGAGGTGGAGGGGGTGGTGGTCATAGTCCGATGGTTTCACCTCCCCCAGGGTCCGATGGTGGTCCTGCCGGCATGTACAACATGGCTGCTGCTGCCGCCGCCGCCGCTGCCATCAACGGCTCCGATTCCTATTCCTCGTTGCCTCAATCTCAAGTGAGGAAGACGCTCTCGAATCTCACGGTTTCTCGTTCCGTTGCATGACACGAACTCATGGTCGATTTCTCTTTCGTCCCCAGGTACCACAAACTGGAGGTTATTCAAACGCCGGAGGCATGTATGACCCTAGTCTACAGCAGGTGGGTATCCAAGTCGTTCCCTTGCGTTTCGCCATAGACTCGGTCGATGGAATCCCCGGACGAATGGAGAGTTATGGAAGGGAGGCAATCGAAGGAGCGTAAATAAGGTCCGGGACAACCCGCCGCGCTGGGGTATATGCGATGCGAAACTATTAATGAGTCTAGAGGGCCAGGGCAGAGCAAGGTATGCGAAGAGATTTCTCGCTCTGCTGCCGATGAACTATGTCCGCTCCGCTCCTTTCCTCTTTTCCTTTTTAATGGCACCTCATTGTGGAGCCCATAATTCAGTATGCAGAACACGTTTGCCTCGACCGAGGGCCCGGAGGCAGAGATCGTCGGGAACCCTTTTCGCCGCGGAGGGGAAACGGCAAACGGGAGTCTTGAGGGGGATGAGGGACGAGAGGGGGACGAGGGACGAGAGAGGGATCTATGTAGGTCGTCCATATAGGTCGACGAATCCCCAGGAGTCCGCTCGAGATCCTGCCTGCGTCTCTTCGTCATCGTCTCCTCCTGCTTCTCGGTTTCATCCTGGATTCATGATATTACATTCCGCGCAGTAGCTCCTCCGAAGAATTCACGATGGCTCTCGGGTAATGCACGATCGGAGATCGGTGGGCGGATTCCACCGTAGATCGTGAAACGATGTTAAGGGGAGTGGTTACTGATTAGCATGCAAAGAAAAGAGGAGGAAGAAGGTGGAGAGACGCTTAGCTTACGTGATCGTGGAAAGGGGGAGCCGATGAAGGTGAGACGGGAGGGAATGTTATTGTTTGTTCGATATCTTCATTAGGAATACGGTCTCGTCTCTGCGTTGCACATGAATAATAGCCCCGTGACATTCCTTCTTACAGAGACGGGGTCCCATTATTATAGCCCTAATCCGCCCTAGTCATCATATAGCATTTTGACGTGAAGGGACGGGGTCACCATCCATGGCAAAGATGGGAAGATGGAAAGGGGAGAGGGAGAGGGAGGGAAGGAGGGAGGTGTGTGTCTGTCTCTCGGGGATAACTCATGTAATCCAGGGCCTCCATTTCTCCCATCCAGTGGAATCCATTCCGTATTCATGGAAACCCGCCATCTCCGACGATAATTACACGAGGAATTATAATGATGTTTAATTAGTAACTGGCTCCACCAGGCGTAAGATGATTAAACTCCTAATGATTATATATGTATCCCGTTCTCGCTCGCGCTCTCGCCGCTCCGAGTTTCCCTCGCTCTCGGTCGGTGATTCATTTGTGTCATCGTGAAAAGGGGAGGAGGAAAGGGAAGCCGATATGAAACGCGGAGGAGGAGGAGGAGGAGAATCGAATGAGGGGGAAGGTACCGTAATAAATTGGGCCAATTTTCATCCTGTCCCCAAGAAGGGGAAGGGTCTGGGTCTTTCTCTTTTCAGATGCCTCTGCCTCACCCGGACAAGGGAATTAATTCCTTGACATGTCATCCTTGTTCCTCTCTCCTTTCCTCCTTCCTCCCTCTCTTTCCTACCATCTATTCCTTTCTTCCTTTTTTTCCTGGCGTTTCTCTTGATATCTATGTCTCAGGAAGGGAGACGAGAGGGGGAAAAAAGACGTGGAATTAGAAGCGTCATCCCATGATGGATTGATAATGGCACCCTCTGTCCCCTCCTTTTTTTTTTATTTCTTCCCTATCCCTCTTTTTTTTTTCCTTCCCGTTCTTCCATTCATCCTCCTCGTTTCATATCTTTTCTTTATCGTTTCTTGGTCCCGGAATCACACTTAATCGTTCGTATTTTTGGGACCAGAACTACGGTTCTAAAGGATTTGCTCATCCTTCAAGTTGCTTGAAATTGATTGTGTGCTAACGGTCCTTTTTTTTTCCTTGATCCAGTAACGAGAAGTCACGGGCATATTGGATGAATGAATGACAAGATGCAGCAGCAGCAGCAGCAGCCGTCTACGCTTCTTTTCAAACAACATTAGTCGAGAGTGACATTCTCCAACGGAACACGTGGATGTGGATGCCGATGTGGATGTGTGTCATGTGCGTCATCTTGTGTGTCTGTCTGTCTGTCTGGGGATATGTGTGACAGCAGGGAATGAAGTTGTGAGTGTGTGTCTGGTATGCGTAGGTGAAGAGAGGGACTCCCCTGGATATTAGTGTGAATGAACAGGGAGATAGAGAGGACGTTCAAATGAAACGTGAAAAAAAGAACAGAAGTACATTTCAGAAAGATACCTTCAGCAAGCGACACGCACATCCGCACGCGAAACATGACATCATCTTGTTATAAGTTCCCCTTTTTTATTTTGAGACTGAGATGACCTTTTGTTTTTGTCTCTGTAGATGTATCCATTGAGCCAGGCTTTGATAGGGAATGCTTGAATCCTTCTCCTTCTTCCTCTCTTCTTCCAGTTCCATCACGACTCGGCTTGAATCCTCTCTCTCATCTCTCTCTCTCTCTCTCTTTTGGGATTGTCCTCGTAAACTTGAAAAACGTCATCCTGGCGGACTCTCTTGTGAATACCGCTTTGGTTGAAGAGGAAAGGGGAACAGAAGTTCATTTTTGAGTTTGTATACATTGGGCCAGTAAGCATGCAAATCATGTGGAAACTTTCCTTCACTTTGCTCTTTCTATAAAATTGGAAGGCCGAGGAGGATGATGGGGATGATGTTGGTATGTGATATTGATTTTTTTTCTCAACTATTTACCTGCTGAGTCTTCTCAGAGGATCATGTTGTTGGATTTCTCTACCCACAAATCAAGAAACGATCATTGTATCCAGTTTACTGCCATATTGCAACACACGATGATCATCACGTTTTCATTTGCTTATTTTTTTGTCCTGTTTTTTATTTCCCCTATTGAACCAGGGGGATAGAAATCAAAAGAGCGAGTTCTTGATGATCCATGACAGATGAATTAGAGTTGGTATGCAAATGAGCAAGCATACGAACATAACAGGTTTAAATGAAGATGATGAGATGAGACAGAGCTTGGATTCCTCTGGCTTGCTCTTTTTGCTCAAACAGTATTGCAGATTCCCCAATGTTATGTGATGGGAATGAAGGAAAGGAAACCGAGGAAGTTTTCCCAGTTCTACCTCATCGAGAATGCTGAGATGCTGAGAGGAATCTTTGTTTTCTGTTTCCATGGGTGTAGAGGAGGATTTTTTTTTCCCCTGTCGATCTTCGATGCAGCTCTCCGTTCGGAGGTGCTTAAAAACATGGACTTTTTTTTTTTTTTTTTTTTTTTTTGTTTAGACAATAGGTGTTTTGAATGTTCGATAANGTTTTTTTTTTTTTTTTTTTTTTTAGAGGGTCGAGCTCCTCACTTGATCTGATGACAGAAGTGATTTTTTCCATTCACTGAAGTGTTACGCTGAATGTGAATAAACACCTTTTTATGTAAGCTCCCGTCGCTCTCTTCTTTTTGTGTCTCTCTCCGTCCCGATTCGGAGACGCAGCCAGACAGAGCCATCGTGTGATGAAAAGCTCCAAAAATATCAATCCTCAGACGGCAGGAGGGGAGGGAGTCCTGGTTTTTTTTTTTGTGGGAAGGCGCTAAGGGGTGGGGGGATTCATTTGGGAGAAAGCTCGTGATGCATGGGTCTAAGTAGGGTTCATGTCGCCGCGACTAATCCTGTCCTAAAGAAGTTTCTTTCATCGGAGGAAAAGGACTAAAAAAAAAAAAAAAAAAAAAAGGGATTCCTGTCTAGGGAAAAAAAAATCCCACCTCGGATGTTTGGGGGTGATAGATTCCCCGGTTCCGTGCTCATCCTCCTTATTCGCACCTTCCAGACCTTTCATTTGCGGCAGGGTCTCCCGCCATCATTCATCCCGGGCTTCTCGGTTGGGTTCCATCAGGGAGACCTTCCGTGTTGCTGGAGAAAAAAACAAGGATTTTGAAAAAGAAACAGGCGGGAGAGAAGAGAAGAAGTGGGGCGAAAAGAAAAAAATGCCGGGATATTCGCGGGACTCAGCGAGAGGTTTTCGTGTCAATGGATCCTTATTACACCAGAGTCGGAGTGATCGAAAAGGGCATGATTTATTGCTCCTCGATGGAGGCCCACCTGACAAGTGAAGCCCACCGATATGACACCCTCATCGCTGGCATCTCTTTCTGCGATTGAAAACAGTTCTCTCGAGGAAGGAAAATAAAAAAGGTCGGACGAAGGATCGTGATGTAAGGGGATCGGAAAGAGTGCGAATTCGGTTCGCCTGACACTTGGCACGGCGTCAGATGAAAAACGGCTCGCACATTTCCCTCTCGACGGCACCGTTTTTTCCCCCCTTTCACTCCTCTCGGCAATATGCTAATCCCGTCGGAAGGGGGAGAAGAGGAACCGGTACGATCGACCGACGTTGCCGTGGAAGAAGAAGATCGGCATGGAACCCGTCAACAGAGTAGACGAAGAGTTGTGAGAGCCACTGTGCACGCAAATGAGCTGCATGACAAAAGGAGGAGAGGAATCGCTCTGTTATTACGCCGTAATGACGGACTTCCTACCATTCCGGGATGCAATTATTCCGTTCCTCGTACTCCGTCATTAGCACGTCTAATGATTTCCAAAGGGACTCGATTATGGACGGCGGAAAGGGCGAAGATGAGACCCTCTCCGAGTGATTTCACTCCCATCCCATCCGCCACGGCACGGGGATTGCGTGCTCGCCCGAGAGAGGTTTTATCTGCTTCGTGATGCGGGGAGGAGAGTGATCTTCGACTAATGACATGTTCCGGGGCGCCGAGATTCATCCGCCGACACGGATGCGTACGTGTGCCGTACCGGCTCCTTTTTCCTTCGATCCGGATCGATGCGGACGAAAAGGAATGCCACTTCGTTCGCCGCATCTGATACGCCGACAGGAAATGGGGACGGAGTTGACCGAGATTTCTGTTCGTATGCAGTGCACGATGAATGAGAGATATATCGGGAGGCCGCCCCCGAAGACGGAGCCGTTTTATAGGCAGCCTCTGCGCCTCCATCCGTGATTTCCGAGCAGGAAATGGAGATCTCTCGTCCCGATGTGTAACCGGCCCCGGTTTTTATTCCTCTCTTTATCGAATTCTCCCCGCCGATAACGCACGCACGGTTCCCCCGAGACGAGGAGAACACGGAAGAGGAATGGAGGGTGGAGAGGATTGGAGGATGGAGAAGGGTGGAGAGGAGTGGAGGATGGAGAAGGGTGGAGGATGGAGAGAGGTGGAGGACGATCTCGTGCATCCGGGACG